CTTTTCGTCACCCATCACCATTAATTGTGACAATCAAAGTGCCATTAAATTAACAAAAAACAACATTCATCACGCCCGCACAAAACATATTGATATTAGACATCATTTTGTTCGTGAGTCTATATCCACTAAACAAGTCAATGTGTCATTCATACCATCAGCTCACCAAACAGCAGACATTCTCACAAAGCCACTGCCTAAGCTGAGACACTATATGTGCCTAACTAATTTAGGATTAGTTTAGTGTTATTTGTTTTGTGTTATTAGGTTAATTAGGTTAGGGCATTAGTGTTAAGGTACCTTTGATATAGTGTTTTTGTACATACAGTGTGTTGATATAAAGGGTGTACATAAGTGTCCTGATGACAGGGAGGTGTAGATAAAACCTTTTTCTATATTAATCAGACACTGGCATCTTTTCGTATACCTTTTTGAATTAGTATTTTATACATTGTTTTTTGTTTTTTATGTCACTCTCTTCTTTACTCTCATCTGACTTTTATGTATTTACAATGTGAAATATATTAAATACTCCAATCCACTGTGACTCTTAATTCCTACATTTTAAGAGTTTGTGAGTGAGTTATCAGTAGACTGTAAAGAACATAATAAATTGTGTAAATCCATTGATATGTTTGCTTTATCATTAATTATTTATAAAAATACCTTATATTAAGGTACCAAAAAATTTTAATCTTTAACTGTCTAGCACTTCAAGCATATAAAATTTTCTATCCAATATTATTTATTTCACAAAGATACAAGGATACTTTCAATGAGCACCCTGACGTCTGAAGTAAATATACAAAATCTGGGTATCAAACACCTGATTCCTCATCTACCTCATGAGAACATAGCAATCCATATGATATAAATTATGTAAAATTACTAGAAAAAAAATGAAATCGAAAACTATGGAGCTAGATAAACAAGTGTGATAGTGCATGCATATGTTTAATAAACTTTTTATGTACACCATTTCATCTATTTGTTATCTCCTTCACTAAGTTATTGATACGTATGAATATTTATTTTCAATCGAAAACTTCTTCTTTTATTAAGGGCTTTCGCATAATTCTGCCAATTTCACGTGCGTAGCCAATACATGGTATGAATTATTTTATAAAATTAATTTTGTAAATAATATTTTCCAGTATAATGTTTCACTTCCTATTACAGTTTAATATTACAAAAAATACACATATGGGGATTGTTTTAGTAGATATCCCATATTAAATTGTCATTTACAATTCAATTTTGTCAATTTCATTCTTCTTTTATTAATGGTATATCTGCGCATTTCACACAATTCAGCCAAAGTCAAGTGAATAAATTAATTTCTACATGTAAAATGAAAAAGTAATGAATGAAAGATTAATTTAAACATTGTCTGTATCATTGTGGTTTGTATTGACAAAAAGTGAATTGGTGTTGCAATATGAAAATCAAACATCGATTGGAAAATATCGATTAATTCATTCATTATCATATTGAATAAAAAAAACTATAATATACTTTTAGTTAATTTTGGTGCAATTTTGCATTTTACCTAAGTTTTACGGACTACTACGGTTGTTGATTCAACATCGCCCAAATAAATAAATATATATATTATTATTATTATGTAATTTCCAATGCCCGTGATTGGAAATGTTATATGAAAACCTAATGAAGTCCCATAAAGTCACAATATGAACTATGAAGTTCAACTAAGTCCATGTAGTTTGATGAAGTCTGATGATATTCAATGAAGTTTAATGAATTCTGTTTAAATGGATTGAAGTTACTAAAGTCATATGCAATCATCATTTAACTTTAACATTTAATTTTTAGTACAAACAAATGTATAAATTTAATGATTATTTTTTTGTACATTCTTTTGAAACGGAGTTGTTTAAAGTAAAGTATACACCTCTGGATTAATGCTCGTCTTAGTCTTGGACTGATTGCATACCTCACTTCTTACAGTTTGTTAGTGACTGAAAATGAGTCAAAACTTTTCTGTTCACGACCTACCCATGTAGGTACCGTTTTATTTTACGGAATCATATTATTCACTTTCATGCTACTTTATCTCACATAATAACATTTATTTTGCGAATTAAAACTCGGTATAAACAATAAAATAAACCAACACCATTTTAATTTTGAAACTTAACTCTTTAAGCTTGACGTTATCTTTAGTTGACGCCAGGATTTATAGTATTTCATCTGACTTTTTTTGTTAATTAAAAGACTTAATTATATCGGATTTATGCTTTAAATATTAAGCATGTTTAAAGTTGAGTGCTTAATAATAGAATTGGGTATATGACGCTTTTCTGAAAACTAATTAATTAAAATAGTTGTTTGATACATTATAAACACACTGTCAATATATTACATGAGAATCTGTTCTATTTTCGATGAATATAATTTTAAAATCTACAGATTATAAGAAATAAACTTTTATTAGATTATTATCTAACATGATGATAATAATACGCAACTTATTTTTATAGTGTCAAATACCCAAAATGATAAAAAATATTAATTATAAATTCACGTTTCGGGTATTTTCCCTTGTAGCTTAACACTTAGGTATGCACTTTCTTAATGTAGCTAATATTCGGTTGTTTCGTCCTTATTTTAAAACGATCGTATACAAATGTAATACATTCATTATATAGTGATAAAAAAATGAATAATCATTAATCGTCTCCCGTTTAACTAATAATTTCATTTATTTTATTCTGGTAACACTAATGACAGCTGTTTGGTTCGGCTACGATTACGTTTCAATTTAGTAAACGTTCGTTTGATAATTGACGTTAGCGGAATGCAAATTTACAGCAAAAATCGAAACGTAACCGTTACAAAAACGCTATTGATGATCGATCGTTGTAAATTAGTAGAATTGGCCCCCAGGGAGACTAAAGGATAATTGTCTCCCTCCGAGCTAGGTCTTGTGAGCCCGAGGACCGCGGTCCAACCGATGTAGGTTGGACGTTCTATTTATGTTAATTGGTAATTAAACTTATTCTGTGTGATGTAGGTTTCTTTGTTCTAAATGTCTTGTAGTTATTAATTTATGCTGTTTGTATTGGTACAGTGCCATCTCGTTACTTGCTGTTGAAACTTATTGCAGTTCGTCTTGCTATCGATGGCTGTGATGATGCTAGTCTTCTCGCTATCGATTGTTGTGGCGATGTTACTGCAATGAATTAGATGTCGCTATCTATCAGTCGCCACACTAATATATTAAAAAACTGAAATTTGGAAAGTTCGAAACTTAGGGCCAGTTTTTTGATCCGTAGTCAAATGTCATTTCACCATTTGTTAACTTGACTATATTTAAAACATTAACAAGTTGTTAACTTGCTATTTCGTTTTTTGATGCCAAATTAAACCATAGCCAAATTTAACCACTGGCCAATTTATTGCCAGCACAATGAGCCGTTTTTTCGCTATACATTGACATGGGCATTTTTTTTCTGGGTGACAACACTAACGGTTTGAATGAACGGAGCGAACTATATACCATTTTTGATATTAGGATTTTGTTCCAAATATCAAATAGACGAAAGAAATCTATAGATTATCAAACACTGTGGATGTTTATGGTTGTTCTGTTGTGTGCACTATGTGTTATTTTCAGGAAATATAAGGCAATTTCTTTAATAATGTTAGCAACAAAGATATTTTTTTAACTTTTTTATAATAAGCATATATTTGTTTTTTATTTATCTTATAGAGAAATACGTGAAAAGAATATAGTATCTAGTATCCAAGGTGGGATTGTAATGTTGGAAAATAAATCGAAGACTATGTATTTTATGTACTGTAGGCATATTGAATATTATTTATAATTGAATAATTTGGCATATGCCCGTGGAAACAAGAAAAAATATTTTATATAGTACAAATATACTAAGGATGATCAAGATAAAAAAAAATCTTATTTTCAATAACCCTATAACCCAAAAATGACAATGAATATTTTCCTATGAAATTGCATCATAAAACGAATTCCAAAAATAGCTAATGTCCGAATTCACTATGAAATCATGTAGGTTATAAAAACAACGTAAAAAATAATAACAAGGGACCAAGTAAATACAATGCAGTTGTACATCGTTCTTTTAACGATTGGTCATTTACTTAACCTAGCTTCATTTAATTTTGACAATTGGTTAGGCTAACTATTCATCAAAATACATATTTTTCTGATATTTAACCATTTGTCAAAGATTTTAACAAATGGTTGAGTTAACCACGGATCAAAAGACTGGCCCTTAGATATTAATACAAATACGAAAAAGTACAAATAGAATATGAGTTGTTTATTGAGTTTTCAAAACAAATTTACTTTTAAACATGAAAGAAAGCCGGAAAGGTTGTTATGGAGAAATCAAGAACGTACTGTAGCGACATCTAGTTTGATTTCGAGAATAATGTTTGTTTTTTTAAATATTTCATTCTATTCTTTTGTGCTGCTATCTAGTGATATAAATTTTTGTAGTTTCTTTATATTCGTCATTAAAAGCCTCGCAATTACGTTATCAGAAAGGCTGTGTGAGCTTGATCCTTTTGCCTTAATTAGACGTTTTTGACGTCCATACGACTGGGATACTGGGATATCGTTTTTCCGAATTCTTTCTTTCGGTTATCTTTTCTTCAAGAAGAATTTAACCTTTCCTCTATTTCCTTCCTTTTCGGTTAAAAATGGCTTGCTCTAATGGTGTGAAATATTTACGTCGATGCAGTATTTGACAGTAGGGCAGAGTTGTTACGAAACTATTTTTCGAAAAAAGTTTAAACCGTGTAGTTGCAAGTAAAAATAACCAAATTTATCGTTAAAATCATGTGAGTATTTTCAGTGTCATAATAGATTGTTTCGATTGCCGATCAGATTGCAGTTTGTCGTAATCAATGTAATTCTATAAAGCTTACACACTAGAACCTAGGTTCATGTGGTTTCTATATTACAGTGGAAATCTTAAACACATGTAGAAAATTTCTCAGTGTATAGTTTAGTACTTAGGTAACTATTTAGTTCCTTTAGAAACCATTAGCAAACATTGTTGTGAAATGGAGTTGAATCTGATCTACAACCCAGATTTATTTGTTCTAGATGAAAAATATTTATTTAATCTAATGACAATCAGAAGAGCATTTTCCAAAGCTTATGCATCATACAGACAGGCCATGGATGATGCATTTAGTCGTAAATATCTGTTTTACACCAATGTTTTGCTATCAACTGGTATATCTACTATGGGAGATTTAATGGAGCAAAATTATGAGATTCACACTAAAGAAATTGAAAAGATTGATTTAGGGCGCACATCTCATATGGCACTGTCAGGAGGTACTGCAGGCATTATTTGCCACCATTGGTATAAAGTACTCGATAGATTTATAATTGGCAGATCTTTAGGTATGGTTGTGAAGAAATTGATTCTAGACCAATGTATTTGCTCACCGATCATTATTTTATCATTTTTTGCTACAGTGGCCATATTTGAAGATGATCCATTAGAGAATTTTACAGATGAAGTCAGAGATAAATTTTGGACTCTTTATAAAGCAGAGTGGATAGTGTGGCCCCCAGCTCAAATAATAAACTTTTATTTCCTACCTACTAAGTACAGAGTTGCATATGATAACATAATATCCCTTGGATATGATATATACACTTCACAAGTGAAGCATAGTAAAGAATATCAAAAAAGCAATAAAAATGATGCATAGTTTGTTTTAAAAAATTGATCGTGTGCAGACTTTAAGACTGAATTTGTTACTTGTCAAGTGTTTTCAATAAATTATTCAGTATTTACATGATGTAATTAGTTTAATTTCTTTGAAACATGTTATAATATAAAATATGTTTTTAATAGTTTATATAAAGTAAGTAAAATTTTAAAGTTCTCAAAATAAAGGCCAGTTTTGATAAATGTTATCACAGTATAGATTGACAAAAAATTAATATGTTTGATAACAGACTCATCAGTAACAATTATGAGTATTTGATTTGAAGTGTTTATTTGTTATATGTAAAATAAAACTAATTGAGTTTCTATTTATTTTATGTTTGCTCTGAAAAATACTTATAATATTTAATATTATCTCCTATTTTTCTTTTGTTTTCAGGTGAAATGCATACACTAATTATGTCTTGGAGAAAGTTAACATCTAATGTAAAAAACTGGGGATACCTAAAGCGTGTAAGAAGAGTAGTTAAGGTGGCCTTTACTGACAAATATTTATTATATACCAATGTTACCATTTCTGTCAGCCTGTCAGCATTAGGAGATTCATTAGAACAATCTTATGAACTATATGTAAAAGAGCAGAAAGAGTATGATGCAAAAAGGACATTAAATATGGCTTTCTCTGGCTCAGCAGTGGGGGTTCTATGTCATTATTGGTATAAAATATTAGATAAATTCATTGTTGGCAAAACAGCCGACATGGTTATAAAGAAATTATTACTAGATCAATTAATATTTTCACCCATTATGATTATGACGTTTTTTGGGAGTCTAGCATTGCTCGAAGATAACCCATTACAAAATTTCAAAGAGGAAGTGAGGGACAAATTTCTCACACTTTATACTGCAGAGTGGATGGTATGGCCACCGGCACAAGTGATTAATTTCTATTTTTTACCAACTAGGTATAGAGTACTCTATGACAATATTATATCTTTGGGTTATGATATTTATTCTTCACAAGTGAAACATAATAAATCTCTGAAGACCATGACCAAACAATCAGAAAATGGCAAGAAGTCATCCTAACCAAATCTTTGTATATAGGTATATTTATTAGTAAGCATCCATTGTGAGGAGGACAACTGCTAAAATACATACAAGTGCTGTGATAGTAGATGGTATATTTTACCATAAAGTTAAATTATACAGTTTTAACGTTGTAGGAATTATGAAATGTTGATATGTTTGTATAGATTGTTACCTTATTGATTTTAAAAGAAAATAAATTATTTTATTTTAAACAGTCTAATTTTATTTTAAAGTATTTTCACATCCTGGAAACTTGATTTAATATGAAACAATGAAAGCAGGTGAAATATGTTGTAAAGTATGAAAGTTTTTACTTTATTTTCTATTTATTATATAATTGACATTAACAATTATAGGATTTCTATAACATTTCATTTTGGAGTCAGGAATAGTTCTTCGTCAGGTGAATTGGTCTTATTTGCCTTCAAATTATTCAACACACTGTTCACGACAGCATCTTCAAATATTCGTTCAGTCCAAGACTCTGATCGTCTGTTGTGAGTTAAACCTGTTTGGAATTGAAGTCTGCTTGATCTTGGTGTGCCACTATGCGAGTAAAAAGATCTATGGCTCTCTCTCATTCCAAGAAGAGAAGTTAGGATCTTGTCGATTGCTGCAATGTCTGCTATGTTGTTATTGTTTGGTGCTTTGTATGAGTGTGGCGTAGACGCGACGCTGGACCTCGCAGAAGTAGGATCACGAGGTTGCAATCCTATTGTACGTAATACCTATTAAAAATAATAAAGTGTATTGAGTATATTGAGTGCTAAAAATGAAATAATCTTGCGCAAAAAGGTTCCGTACATGTATTTAATTACGGACCAGTACGGATTGGTGGTTGCTAGATAACATTAACAACTGCATATGCAGCCGAGAACCAACGGCTTAAATCGTCGTCCAAAGCACGGAGGAGTTCAAGATAATATTTTTTTTTGGTTTCACATCCCATAACCGGCACTTCCGGATGTTGTTTCAAGTTCGTTAATCAGGACCAAACGCGCTAATCACTGTGCCGTCGAGCTTTTCAATTACAATTTAGATGATGAAATATTTTCCATATTTTTTTAAAAACTACTGGGTTTTGAGATCACCTACTATCGCGTAATTCAAAAGCCCTGAATAATATGTCACATAAATGGTAGCTTTGTATTTTTTTTTCAGATAACTTCAATTCGATTTATTTTAAAACATAAAAAATATATTTGATAGTTCACAATGAAAGAGTCATTTCTTATGTCACTTAATATACCTACCCTGCAAAGGAGACAGGCCCCTTTAAATTCAATTTCATACGTCATACCGCAATTTGTAATTTGTTGTGTCTTTGGGTGAACAAATTACATATGTGTTCTAAATTTCAATTCAAGCTGTCTAATAGTTTCGGAAAAAATGGGCTGACAGACAGACGACCAAATGATCGTATAAGGGCTCCGTTTTCTTTTTTTTGATACGGAATCCCGAAATTATTTTCTGTATCCATAGGTACCTCCGGTAAACTCCGGTGGGATTTAGAAACAAACCTCTTATGTATGTAGATTAATAAATATCAGTCCCTATTTAGTTGTACCTTCTAGTGTTTTCAACTAACCCGCTAAACATACAAGATTCAATGTTTCTTAGATCAATATTAGCCTTCAATTCTGTTGTAGAAATAGGTAATCTAAACTTTGCTTTAGCGTCCTACGCATGTCTTAAAAATCAATAAAGCGGCTGGGCTTTATATTTTAAGATCGACAGGAACTATTTTTTTGTATTGAAAATGACATTCAAAATGGAAGAACTTTCTAGTATTTGTTAATTTAGAGGAGCTCAATGCCGCGGTGGTTGACGCGCAACTGTAGTAGATAGCATCAACTAGGCGCGATATAGGTATTTGGTTTAGGAGGAGGGCAATTGTAAACTTTTAGTTCAACCAAACTTTCACATTGCTCCGGATACATGTCTTCACGCCACCGCGTCTCGAACAATATGGGAAAAAGGATTCTCGCTTCTCCTACCGAACGCATTAATTGGAGGGCAAAAAAATCCTGCTGCTGCTACCTATCGGAGTACTGATCGGAGGACTGGGAATAACCAATACTATCAACTACAATTTAGCAGAACTAGTAAAACCAACTTGCAGCTATTATATTTGATCAATATGCTTGAAAATTTCGTCAGTCCTGTTAAGTCCTGGGGAGCTCAGTGGTTAGAGCAGTCGCCTGGATTGCGAAAGCTTGATTCCTATCTTAGAGTGCCAGGGACAGAGTGGATTTTTTAACCATTTTTCATAAAAAATACGTAAAATACCAATGTTCATATTTTATTTTTCACGGAGCAAGAAAAGTATAAGTACGTATTCAACTAAGTAACGTAATTAAAAATTTCATCAACCAATCACTAGGCACGAGGTCCATGTGAAGTATTTCCGTTTGCGTCCATGCTCAGGGAAAATCTATGCCCAGCAGTGGGGACGTTTGTAGGTAAATGTCCATAGTTTAGACGCCTAGCATGAACAACAAATATTTTTTCTAACATAATATTTAAGTAAGTAGGTCTCGTTAATTTATATTTACCTCATCAGCAAAATGACTCTGGTAGCTCATCCTTTGGACCTTTCTGTAAGTATCATCGTCCAAAGCTTCTTGTACTGCTGCTTCAAGTTTCTGTTTTAAGTCTTCATCGGTGGTTTGATCAAGATCTTCCAAAACCAATCTTAATATAAAAATATAAATAGTTAAGTGTATTGAATTAGGTACCTAGGTTTCTACTGAAATGTGCGCATATTTATTTTACAATACTCAACTCTAACTGAGAAAATGCTGAAAAAACCCATCAATAGTCGCCCGGATTGCGAAAGGTCGTGCGTGGGATCGAGTCCCATCTCAGAGTATCTGAGGCTGGTGGGTTTTTAAGCGTTTTTCATTAAGAATATTTCCCAGTATAGCATTGTGAATGCAAAATTGATAAAATATATGAGAACAACATGTCAGTGCTGCGCTGTTTTATTATTACTGATTTAGTATATATATCATGATATTTGCATCAAATTTCAACCCAATCTCTAGTAGCGTCGGAGCAAATTAGCTGTGACAGACAAACAACTGACTGAAAGGATCGTATTTTTGTACACACTCAACGCACCTATCCAATACAAGCACGTAACAGACAACGCACGCACGCAAGACACACACGCAACGCAATGAAATTTCCATAGCTGGTTCCATTCTGTCTTTTGATGTATTGAATTCTAAAAATCTACTTTATTAGTTATGTATGATAATAAACTTTATTAGTTATATTTATTAGTTATGTATGACACATACTCTGAGCGTTCCTCAGCATTTTCCTTCTGTAAATTAGTTCGGTTTGCTTCCCTCGCCACTCTGATGTCTTTTTCCCAAAAGCGGCGAAGGTCTGGTGTAGATGTGTACGGAGCAGCCACTTCTTTTATTTTTAAGAATATGATTGCAGTAATAAAAATGCAGATCACATTAACAATTGTCAGACAGCAGCTTACGATACCTATTTGAAAATACACAACTTCAAACCCTTCCACTTTACCTATTTTAAAACAGAACTTTTGAACCACGGAACTTTGATTATATTATTGCCTATAATCAAAGCCACGGAATTACACTTATTAAAAACGAGACTAAAGTTGGTACTTGGTTTAAACCTTCTTCTTCTTCTTTTTTAATTCATGAAAGAAGAAGAACCTTTGGCCGCTAGAACCATATTGACAATGACAGAAAGGATTTCTTTTTCAAAAACAACCGTTTTTAAACTATAAAAAGTTGGATATAATATCTACCTTAAAAGCTGTTTAATTATTCAAGAAATAGCTATTGAAGTTTTCTGATAACTGTCCGGGGACTAAAAAATAATGAATTTTAAAAATTTTGTTGATCAATTTCACGGAAAAAACGATGAACATATAAACATAATCGAACATAGTATCTTTTTTTGAATTAGAAGTCTGTTAAAAACGGCAATCTGAGAGTAGGGTAACGGTTTGAAACTGATACGCAATTTACTCATCGTTTAATAATAAGATGGTAAGATGGTTTAAGTTTATTTAGGTATACCAACGTTAATTAACTTACCATTTACAGCAAATTCAATAGGTAGGTAGTCATGGTACAGTGGTACATAACTAGAATTGCCGATGTATGACTCTCCTTTTAAATGAGGTATCTTTACATCCGGGTATAATAACCATATACAGGCTAGAGCCCAATATAATCCCTGGAATCAAAACAAACTACCTATGTCATGCGATATGTACCATATTCCGTAGTACGCGGAGCGATCAAAAACTAATTGTTACATTGCTTTTACTGTTTACAGTAAGTGACAGATCTAAGTTTACATATGTGTGTTAGGATTCTACCTAATAATTTCTTATTATTTGTACAAATAAATAATAAAATATAACGTCGTTCACACTATACATAAATATGGAGAGTGTACCAATAGCTCGTTTCTGTGTACCAATAGCTAATCATTTTTGTTGGCAGCCGTAAGATGCTTACTGTCGATTATAGGTCTTACTCATGTATGGATCTTATCTTAAAAATGATCAGTTCTACACTGCTTGTATCTAGCGGCTTCCATCCACTTATTTAGCGTCAACCGGTGCGTAATCTCCATTCTCAAATTCATCTTATTTAATTATTTATTTGAAAAAGGACAATGATAAACCATACGCAATTAACAACAGGAGGTAATAAGGATGCTGATATTGCGATCCCAATCAGTGGTCCAGCGCTTCCTTGAAGTAAAGCGAGAGCTACTCCTGTGCCTGACGTGAGAGCCCACAGGACGCCCATCCATAGAGATCTTACGTTTCCTCTGGAAATAAAAAGATCACTATGTAATTTACAATATATAGGTCACGTAGGACTGATGCATATTTTATTGTATTGAACGAAAAACATGCCATTCTGTTCATAAATCTACGACGGGAAACCTCATACTGAGAAGAACCGACAAGGATCAGCTATGGCTGTTTTTATCCCTGTTTTATTTTATGCAGAGATATAACGTTGAAAAGTGTTTGAAGCCAAGAGCATATTTCAAACATAGGATATTTACATAGAACATAGGATGTCATCACTACATAGGTACAGGCCTCCAAGTAGGGAGAAAGGGCCATAAGTACCACGCTGGCCCTGGTTGGTTGGTATTATCAAATACAAATACAGCCGGGATAAATAGCTAAATATGCTTTGCGAAGCAAAGAGAAACTCGAAAAAGGTAATAAATTTCTAGTCACCCGTCTTATGACCGGCCCATGTGTAGAGCTTGTCAACAATGTCTACTTTGACAATAAATCGATAGTCACCTTGATTTCATCTCCTCCGTAGGCCAATCTCCAAAACCCCAAGGCATTTCAGTGCTGCCCAAAATTAGTCCAAAAATGAATCCAAAGAGCAGTGAAAGAAACATCCCTAACACGAGGCTTTCGAAGCCACTTCTGATAAGACTGTAGTCAGATATAATAGTTCCGAAGGTGATAGACATGACAGGGCCCATCAATGGAGAAACCAACATGGCAGCCACTATATTGGACGCGTTGTTTTCGACTAAGCCAAGCGCCGCAAGGGAACTGAAGGGCAAAACAAGTAGGTAAATCTTATAACTAAGTATTTATTACGCAAACTGCTGATTTCAGAGAAGACGCGGTCTAGAATTTCTCCTGGGCGAAATTCATCCAACCGATTATTATCTAGTTTTCTGTAGGTAGATATTTGTATTCCCTTCAGTAATTAGTTACGAATTACATTTCATTATTATATACATAAATAGTCCTAGCTAATTGTTTACTTACTCAGCTGTTATAATTAGAGTCAAATAGTCGAAAGACAACTCTCCGCCACCGCGCACACCATCAACTACTTGCTTTACTGTTAGTTTCGATCTGATGGATTCGACGAAACTGCGCCAGCGCTTCGCATCTTCTCTGTTACGCCTAGATTCGACATAGTCACTTGAAAATAGAGCGGAAGAATTGTATTCCAAAGAACGTCACACTTAACTAATTTAAACAATATGATTTCTAATGTGTAACAAATTATACATATTGATCTACTAAGTAATTTTAGGCGTTTGGTAAGTATTGTATTTTAATTCAAAATATTGTATCTTCTATCCTATCCTATCTTTCTTGAGCGGAAATACCTAAGTAACTGCAGAACACCAACTTAACACCAATTATCAAATTTGCAATCCATTCCAATCTATAGGTAGTATAAAATTATCGAATTCCGACATTTAAAAATTGAGATTTCTCAGTATTACTTATATCATGAACAAATACTTTTTTTTATTAATACTAGGTTTCCCCAATGTACGAGTTTAATTACTTACAATAATGTTTCTTCATCGATATGTTCATTTTCAATAGCAGAGTGCACTACGTTACATGGAAGAACACTGAAAGTGTAGAGGAATAAGAATAACAGCAATTATAAATTTTGTCTATTTACATTTGTAAAGTTTTGTAACGAGATTATAGTAGAATTAGTTAAAGTCAATAAAGCTTTCCATAAACCAAAATTCGATTTTGTGTAAAAAGTGTTTGGTTTAAGAATAGTGATAATGTTATTGAAAATTTACAGTTGCCTCACAAAATGCAAGTGACCAACAATATTTGCCAAATTTATTTAAAAATATAAGTAACTTAAAAATGTGTTCTAAAAAATTTGTTAGTCGCCAGCACCGGGAGAGGTCATTACATTCATTATTTAATTGGATTTGGAACGTTTATTTAGACCAAATAACACTCATTTCATTCTGATTAGTCTGCAAAGGACGCATTAATATATAGATTGATTATGAGATGAGGCATTAAAAATCTATTACCTTACGATGGATTTGCATCGGACACCGATGCCGAGTTGAGTAAGACAATGCAACATAGTCTCGCACTGATCTCCAGTGGGAAGTGGAAACATTACCTCCTGGTAGTTCCCAGTCTTATCACTCACCCACACAACGTGTTCGACATAGAGTTTCTTCAACAATTCTTGCAGAATCTGGTTGAGAATGAATTGGTTTCTCTATAACGTCTAAACGATGTCCTACATGGAATATCGATTTTATAAGCTTTTTTAATATGATAATTGTATCATTTTAAAAACGCTGCTGTAATTGTATCATTTTTAAAAAGCATCGTCCTGTTTTGACGATAAGTAAGGTAAAATAATGAGCAAGTTTTAAAAGCATAGTCACTCACTTAGGAGTGTTTTTAAAATTTACATAAAACAAGCAGCCTTTATTTTACGTCTTGAAAATTATCCTTGGTGAGCAGTAAATTTTAAATTAATATTCATGATTATGGTTTATCAAAAAAGTAAAAATAAATCACTAGTTCTAAACTCATGATGGAAGAAATAAGCAGTCTTACACTTTCCATTGTGAAACATTCGTCGTCTTCGTTGATGTTAACTAAAGTAGGATTGAAGCCTTCGTTATTATAATACTGCTGCGTCAAATGTATAGGTATACTCTTTGATTTTTTATTGCGCAACTCAACTTCTAGACGGCATGGTTTAGTTTGTACATGAGTGTCTTCAATGGAGATTATATCTCTTGGTTTGCCAAATTTCAAAATATGCTCATAGTTACTAGAAGGTATGTAGATGATGAAAATCACTCCAGATGGCATTTTCGGCTAATGTAACACAAATGTTAAAATCAAAGTTAATGCTAGTAGTAATGTGCATTGAGGACTATTCAATAACGAGACTCTTGTATTTAGCGTTAATTAGTTTGTTTATTATAATGTAAGTGCTATTTTTATAACATCTATGTCACTTATTATTATATAAACAAAATACATTGATTTTCAAACATTTTTTTTTATTTATTTTCATAATTGCAAGGTTTGATTCTCAGTCGGGCCAATATACTCGTAGAAAAATAAAATTATCTATATTGATGGGTCTGGGTGTTGTGGTATCTTTGTGTTTCGGAATTCTATAATACAAGTGCTAAAAGCTTTTTTAAATATGGAATCTGGAATTGACGTTGTGCAATATTATGATTACTTATCGATTTACTAAATCTTTGTGATTACTTAATCAGATTATGTTCTATGTATTAGTGAATTTTTATTTTTATTATAGGTATTATGATGTACATATATAAACATAGTTTTATTTTGGTAAATAATAATGATAATTAAACAGGATTCAATGGGTGATCATTTTATTTTACACAAATATAAACATATTACAAAAAGTCTATTAAAACTAATTACATCGATTTTTTTTTATCTGCACATATTTACTCAGGATCAGCTCATTCATCAAGGCTCGGGTAAGTGTATGGCGGTTCGTTATCCATTTCCATGAAATACATGGCAACGAAGGGATAAATTTGGTATTGAAATAAAATGCTATTATTTAAAATAAATATATAGATTACATCAACAGTCATGCGTTTTACACTTCTGTTTACCAAATGTTATCTTGTATAAACCTTTGATAATAAAACCTTATTAATGTCCAAACTTTGTGGTAGAATTTCGACTTCTGGTCGTTGACTGCTAATCTTTCCCCGAGGTTTCTTGAGCCGACACTGAGTCTTTTCTTACACATGGAAAGACTTAGTTCCCAAAACTATGCCATGCGTTTTTGCATCTATGGTAAGATTCACAGAGGGCTGTATTGTTGGGTAGTAAGAGTCACTTTTGGAATTCTTATCATCTTTGTCTTCATATCCAAAATTAAAGTAATTAAAGCTGTCCCGAACACGTCCAGTGTATGGCGTTGCGTTATTTTCTATTGAATCAGCATTTGATAAAATACTCGGTACTTCTACTGCTTCTTTATTTTCAGAGGTTTTCTTTTCTGTATTATTAACTGGTTGTAAAACTGCGTTCATAGATGTATAACTTTCACTGTTCCTGTGAAAAATATGTTGTTGTAATAATGTTTTGAACAAATAGTTTGTTTCATCTTCTTAATGTCTGTATGTATAGAGAGTTAAATGGAATTTATAATATACTATATCTTTATACCATAAAATTAGATCGGTAAATAGAGATGCTTAAGGGTAACATGAAGTTAGGTGTTAAAGTAACGCTTGAAAACCTTTGGGCGAAGGAAGATATTCGTGATGAATTGCAATATTTTTGAAATAGAACACTAATATTTACGTCCTATAATTTTAAAATAGTAGCAGATTGCTTACATTAGCTGTAACATGAAATCTATTTTAATTCTATATTTTGTGCGCATTGTATCACTAATAAATATATGCTTCTCCAGCAGGTTTTTATCCCTTTCAAATACTTACTGCGTCTTCTGCAAGTAGTCCTCGATATTATGAGCTTTTGGTCGTTGTATTAAATTATGTTTTCTGTATGTCACTGTGTCGCTCTGTATCTGGTAATTATTATCTGTATGAGTTTGGAGAGGATTGGTTTCAATAGGGTCATTGCACCATTTGCTGTAAGAATAATATGACAATAATGGAAATTTATCGATAAAGCATTATGCATAATTTTTATCATTTTACCTATATATTTCCCAATTTGTAGGACCGTCATTATTATGTTTAGGAATTTGAAGATCTTTGTTAGCCTGCCACCATGGAATGTCCCGTTTTTCCAAAGGACGAACTTCTTTTACCTAAAATTAAAAAATGTTACGTAAAAATACAGTGCTTGCTGAATACTGTAGCGATATCTTTAAACGGCTTCAGAAATTTGCAAATAAAGTTTGGTATAATGTAAATGCTGAGTTGTGATAAATTAAGGTTGGAGAACCTTGATAAGATTGTGCGTCATTACACGTATATTTTCATTTGAACGTTCTTCGGAACACAGGATAACACAGAACACAGAAATGTTCTGTGCAGGATAAGCTGCTGGTCTCAGCTGCGTTCACAGTCGTAATCACCTAAAATTATAGACCCGATATTGGTAACCTATACTTTGTTTCTAGTTCTTCTTTGCTATTATATGAAAAACTTGATGATAGTGTTTTTTTTTACCTTGTAGACTGCCACTCCAGCTAAGAAGATGCAAAGAATATTAACGAGTGTGAGGCAAAGTGATACTGTCCCCAGTAGCGCCAGTTCTGTGGCTGGATTTTCGCTGTAATATGAAGTGGTTATGACGCCGTTCCATTTGGTGTCGTCGCTGGCGTATATGATGTGGACCAAAGACATCGACCAGAGAAGACCCTGTAACGGCAATTATACGTAAGCGTTGAATATAATAAAAAGAGTTTAGTTACCGTCAAAGAAGGTGCGTAGAAGGCACTTCATCTTTGCGCACAAAATTCTCTGAAAAGTACTTCAATTTATGACCGTCAAACGCAAGCGATAAGTAATCACTCAAAGGTAGCATGGCATACTTATTTTCTCAATTATATTTCGTGATATGATAACAATGTAAAAATAATTGTCAATGAAACAGCCGTCACTTGCGATAATTAATTTATTAATGTTTCTGCAGAAATGTACAAAGCAGTGAAATAATAATATTAATATATTTTTTATTGTACACTACAAAGGACATAACACAAAGAAGCAAGATAAAAAAGAAATATACAAAAGGCGGCCTTATTGCGAAAAAGCAATTTCTTCCAGGCAACCCATGTTTAAAGTTAGATAGAAAGTTAGAAAGAGACGATAATTATTTTACTTACGTCTCATTTAATAATCTTTGAAATTCGTTAAGAACTAAGGTGAAGAAGTCTCTACGGGAACTTTCTAACAAAAAATATTGAACTTTTTGAACTTACAGCATTGACAGCAGGTGGCAGTAGAGATGCTGATATGGCGACTCCAACTAGAGAAGCTGTATATTCGCTCAGCACAGCCAACGCTACAGCAGCTCCGCTTGGCAGAGCCACCAGTACACCCACCCAAAGAGAACGGATTTCACACCTGAGTCAATTTCAACAACTGAGATTTTTTCCTAACTTTCATGTGAGAACTTTACATTTTTAGAGTTTTTCACAAACTTTGCTATCGAAGCTCAAAATATCCTCACTTTATAACATTTTGCTCTAAGAAATTATCTAAAGAATTATGTTGGAAACCGAAATTAGCGAAACACAGAAATTGATTTTTTGACATCGAAATTGTATTGGTGCCACGGAAATTGTGTAACAAAACCAGAAACTACAAAATCGTTAAATAAATTAGAAAAAACAAGACTGATAATAAGCGTCTGATTATACGCACCGATACAACCACATTTAAGTAAGAAAGTTATTATGTGCTCGGATATAGGCTAGCTGCTAAGGCACGTGGAATGTTGATTGTAAGAAAAAATGAATGGACTAATGAAAGTCAAAGTTAAAATAATATTCATTCAAATAAACTTATAATAAGAACTGTTGAATCGTCCAACATTTTTTACGTACCATTCGTTCAAGACGTGTTTTGACTGATAAGAAGAACGAGTTTACACTGAGAAATTCACTCGCCTGCATAATCAAGGAACATTTTTAAAACTCCTGCTTGCTAAGTACACACTCCTTTAAATGGTATTCAGTTTTTTAAATTTTATAGTATAGTTTATTGTGATTGGAAATATTTCCGTTAATGCTTCACATAATATAATGATGACATTTGAAAACTCATTTTCAATTTCTGTCGATCGATTCAAATATCTCACTACATATTTATTAGTGCTACTTTTTAGTTAAAAATACAAACGTAGTTATTTTTATAGAATAGCAAAGTTGATTACGATAGTCTTAAAACATACATAAAAAAATCACTGTCGAAAATATAACCTTAAAGTCGGTTAAAACAAAAGCGTTACGAACAAAGCGTTTTCAAATGCGTTAGCTAGAGTAAATATACGTGTAAATTTAGAATTCACTTCAAGAATCAAAATACCTGGAAACCATTTCAGAAGTAGGCCAGTCTCCTACACCGTAGTGTTCATCGACGGCACAGATGCTGAGGCCGAAGATGAATCCGATGACAAGTGAAAGGAATAGACCTAACATCTCGTGCATCAGTCCCATTCGTTGCAATGAACGATCGCATACTGCGGTGCCTAGGGTTCCAGCGGTTATTGGACCCTGAAAGTAATAGTCAGGTGTGAGATAAAATGTTTTTATATTAATTAATTACTTGTATATTTTTCCAACTTCTTTCCACTTTCCAACAGTTTACTAAATAAACTGTCTTTCTTTTGAATGTTTAGCTGATGTGCTTAATTCCTTTTTACTTTTTAATACAAATTAATTTAAAGAAAAATATTATTAAATATAATTGTAGGTACAATGTTAACAATTGTACTATGGAGGCAGCGAGCGCGGCTCATAGTGGTGAAATAGTATATAAATGACTTCTCGCGAAACAATACATTTATTTTTTAAGTGATTTTGCAAATTTGTAAGATAGTGCTAAATAACCCCGAAATCGGGTGAGTTCTAATTCTTTAATTTTTACTGCTGCTGCAGATTATTTTGTATGCTGCGATCATTAGCATGAATTTTCACGAAATCTTTCTGATATTTAAAATTGACAATTTTCGGCCAGAATTATCATCTTTTTGTTTTTAATTTAAATGTTCAAAAACTTAGTTACACAAATTATGACTATAAACTAAACATAAGGTAATTTCATATTGTAATTATCTGGGTGTGCATTTACTTTTCAATTTTTTTTTATTTATATCGCCTATTTAGTTTTTAATCACAGCGTTAAAAGTTTGAAATTGCATGAATATTCCAATTCATAGATTGAAGAGGAGCTTGAAGGCACAGTGATTTGCGTGTTTGGTCTGCAATGCGAAAGTTAACCAACTTTCGCAAGGGCTGGTCATATGATGAGTGATCAAAAATGTATTATATCAAGATCCTTCGTGCTACGGAAGGCACGTTAAACCGTTATTCCGGCTCTATAAACCGCACTGAGCCCAAGGGGCCGGTTCCTATTTGATTCCATCTAGGCCTATATTCATAATTTATGATAGGAGCTCGATGGCGCAAGCAAATTTTGCAATGGCCGGTCATAGGATGGGTTACCAAATATGTATTATCTCGAGCTCTTCTGCTCTTCTGAAAGCACTTCAATCCGTTGGTTCCGTCTTCCTTTATAGTCGTTAACACCTACCAACCCCCCATTCCTATTTTCCATCTAGGTCTATATTAATAATCTGATAATAATGATGAAAGATTGATGGTTTTGGTGTACATTATGTTACAACACTTACCATAAGAGGAGAAATGAGCATACTAGCAACTAATATGACTGTTGAATTTTCTACTAGACCAATGGCGGAGACGAAAGCAGCCACCACAAGGAGAAACAGCCAGTCGAAGGTCAGAGAGGCCTCAGAACGTACCGCGAGTAGAATCTGTGGTAGATGGTTCCTCGCTCGAACAGACGAGGACAGACGAGACCACATAGAGTTATCACTGTAGATGGTGAAATATTTGTTATATAAATAAAAAAACGCATCGTGGTCTAGAACATGGCAGGTTACGTTATTTATGCTTTAGTGGTGGAAGTTTATTAAAAAAAAAACATTTTCTACATTGATCCGACCGAGAATCGAACCCGAGACCTCAAAGATGGCGATGCCTTGAAACCGTCGCGCGGTGTGAGAACCACTCGGCTACGGCTAATTAGACAAGATCATATGCATTGTTTAGCTATGCTTTATGTTAGAAACTATTTTCTAGCCCCAAGCTTTAATGAAATAAAATATTCATCACCTTTTGAAGTAGATTTTATTGGATTGAACCTTTATGTTGTGTCAGCATTGAGCTCGACGTAGAGTTCGAGGTTGTTTTGATAATAGAATAGGAATGCAGATTCCACATTAAGTAGCTAAAGCACTTGTAATATGGAAATCTGAAACAACGCAGGTACCAGGTACCACAACATCCAGACCCGAGATAGTATAGAAAAGTTCATTTTCTATTTTTAACCGTTCGGGAATCTAACCCGGGTATCGACCCTTCAAACCGGCATATGAGTCACTCGGTCACGGAAGTCGTCATATACTTAGTTAGCAGGTTACTTAAAAGGTAACATTTCTGTAATATATATTCGACTTACTGTCAATTTATTAAGGTTTATAATTGATTCGAGAAATTTTGCGGTATGTCACCCCTGTACCATAATACATTTAGCATTGGGAGATCGACGGTACAGTGGTTAGTGCGTTCGGTCTGCGATGTAAAAATAAAGCACCTTTCTTAAGCGCCATTCATGCGATGGGTGATCAAAAATTTATAACGTAGAGCTCATCTGTGCTTCGGAAGATACGTTAGGCCGTTGATCTCGGCTGCACCTGCAGTCTTTAATACCAATCAATCCATACCGTGCCCTTGTGGTGGGGGGCATATTCACCCTATTCCATTCCGTCTATAGGAAAGGGATAAGGAAGGGTGATGATGATGATTACAAACTCGCATCACAAACTCCCTGACTTTTTTTTTTCATTAAATACATAAGGATTTAGTCCATACAGTCTAGCTACTCAAATCTTTATTTATTATGTTTTCTTTCTATGATTTCTGTTTTATCTCATAAATAATTATATTTTTTTCTTATATGTGTTATCAAATAAATATCTTTTTCAATCTATGGATAGCTTTGCTTATGGCAAATGGACCTTGAATGACCCAAGACCTTGAATTAATCACGCGGGCTAATTTGGATTGTCACGAAAACTACCTTTTTGACAGAATAATGTCAGGCGGGTAATCGTATCTAAAATTAATGCTGTTTAGTTGTTTCCGCTTGCACGGCTATTTATTAGTGTTTTAAAATAAATATCAATAAACATCCGTTCATATCTTCACATAGATATTGCTGTGAGCACAGGCCTTCCTAATTGATTGAACCGAGTTGGCAAAATAAGCACATCACGAGGACTTATTGCGGGATGATATGTATTAACGATTGCAGCTACAGCAGGGACCAACGGCTTTATCATCATAATAATTTTTGGTCACCCATCCTATGACCGGCCTTTACGAAAGTTAACTTCCAGACTAAAGGCCGAATGAGCTAACCACTGTCTTATTGAACTTCTTATATGATACGAAGCTATAATGATTGACTTACTTCCAAATATCTTCTTTAGTTTCCGTGTCTTCTTCAGAAGTGTTTGCCTTGTAATAGAGAGTGCACGGTAGTACACTCATAGAAGACTGACCTCGGCTCCCAATGCCAAAAGTTCTCAGTACTTGAAGAAGTTCTTCGCAGAGGTTGCCGGATTTTAAGCTGAATGTAACCTAGGCAATGAATATTTGTGTGAATTTGTTATATGCGAGTATCTCTGTGGTTTTCTATAAGGTTAATGTTACATTGTTAAGTAGTTAAGAAAAAAATTATCAGTTTTCCCGCGACTTCTCCCACGTAAATTATTGTCAGTGTGATGAACGGGATGACCTAAGGGAAGAATTTTTAAAATCTGTCCAGTAGTCTCGGAGCCTATTCAATGCAAACAAACAAATAATCATAATTTTCATTTTTATAATATTAGTATAGATAACAATCACATTGTAATCGAAAATGAGTATATTTCTTTCAGATGACGCCTAAACCTAAAACCCCTAATTCTAAACTGGTTTTATACAATCATTTACAGAAAATAATATCATACATAAAGGTTTCGTCATAGCCAAAACGTGACTTTCCTGAATAATTTCTTAATGAAAGAATGTCACAAAATCACACCTTAAAATATACCATTTCTTGTCGTAATTATTATGTAATTACCCTTTTTAAAGTTGATACTATATAGTGTCCGGGAAATTTATAAATATTTGAGCTTGACATAGAAGGACTAACTTTTGGTTTTACACGTTTTTCAGTTGTTTAGGTTGATTATATAAACAGCTACAAAAATGTGCTCCGCAGCAGCAAAAGTATCAAGTTCTTGTGAAATTCCAGTTTTGTTAAGGCTTCTGGTAGGTAAATTGGTAAAGCGGTGACCCAGTTATGGAAACGAAAACAATATAACTCGGAATCTTGAGTCAGTTGAATATTCTAAGTATTTCGTTGTAAAATGAATGTCTGTATTGACAATATTCGAAAATTGTGAAGGGAAAATTTTATTAAATATAATATTTCGTGAATCTTTCAACTCGCGTATCTATCATTGTCATATTAATGATATTGCCACTATTGGCGTATTGGATTTCCCTATAGATAGAATCACATAAAAAGAATGAGCTATAAATAAACTCTCGCCTTATGATTAGTGCGTATTTAACGATTGCGTCTATTGACCGAGAACAATGGATTTGAGAGAGCAGAAGATCTAGAAAAATTGCTTAACCAACGTTATTGCAGATTGATTTTTTCGTTGAATAAGTATAAAATTAGATATAGTACGTGTACATATAAGTTTACCATTCACTCATTAATGCAAACGAAAACGTCACTTGAAATAGCACAATAAAAACTTAATTACGTTTTTATGAATCATATCCGATGTCTTTATTGGTAGGTAGGTTTCGTCGTGTGCCATTTAGTAGGTTGAACAAAGGTATATTAAATTACCACCATTTTGGATATGATAGCGTTTTGTTGTATTTATTATTTTAACATTTAAAATATTGAATAATTCGAACGATCCACTTTATAAAATCGCCTTTGTACAATGATTTCATTAAAAAAATATATATGAATGAAAAAAGACTGTATTATTGAAGTTAATGTTTCCGCTAAAAATGATATTCGACAATTTTTTTAAACAAAACTTTATCTAAAATTACTTTGGTTAATTCGAGTTTACAAAAAATTTTTTTAGGGTTCCTTGTCAGAAATAACCAGAACACAAACCTTTATGGGATAACTTGATTGTCTATCTGTCTGTCTGTCACAGGCGATTTACTCCGAAACTACTAGATCATTGAATGCATTTTGGAGCACACACATATAACTGGTAGATAATGTTTTTTGGCACTGAGTCCTCCATTTGCTATTTTTCAAAAGGAAAAAGACTAAATAAATAAAAAAAATGTAGGTAAGTTAATGATCCTTAAAGAGAAACGGTCGTATACGTTATATGGGAAGGTTATAAATGCATAAATACCTCGTGTGTTCATAAGTTTGTGACGAAATAAAAGTTGCGTATTTTTTTAATAAGTAACTTTTATTTATAAAATTTTTCAGTAACCATTAAATAGATAATAATCAACAATAAAATACATATTTTATTCAAAATGACCACCCTTGTTTTTAATACAGGCCTTTAAACGATTCGCCCAGTCATCAATGGCGGCACGAATCTTTTCTTTGGGTTCATTTCAGTGACTCCAAGTTTGGGTGGGACTTTCGGCAGACCTTGAGCTTTTATTCGGTCCATAATCCAGCAGTTGAGGTCGTGGCTGGAGCAGGGCCACTCGCCCGCCATGAAGGCCGGCACATTCTCCCTCAACCAAGCTTGCGTGCTCTTTGCCTTATGGGATAGCGCCGAGTTTTGCTGAAAAACCCAATCCTTATTGTAAAATAACGTATTAGACAGGGGTTTCACCACGGGCTCTAAAATGTCACTCTGATAATTCTTGGCTTTCGCCTTGACACCTTGCTGAAATGGGGAGGAGTGACATTTTCATACGAAACTCCTCACCATACCATCACACTACAGCTGGATGATGAATGCGCGAGACATTCCGTACAGAAGCTGGGATATCCTTGTATAAAACTTTTAGCGTACACTTTATTATTTTGTCGGTTGAACTTTTCTTCGACAGTAAAAGTTTTCTCGTTGGTGAAGAGTATCTTCCTGGTATCATGTCTTTTCAGCAGCAATGGGTCGCGTCGTAACTTACGAAGGTAATCATTTAAAAGTGAAATTTTCTACAGCTATAGGCCTTTACCTTAAGATCATATTTCAGTATTCAGTATTCACTGAAACGCGTGAAATATTAGTCTGCAGAATGAGTTTCTTCTGAGTTCGATATGGATTTCGGCGAAGTCGCTCTCGGATGATTTTGATGTTCGCAGGCGTTCTTACAGAGCATGACCGACCACTCCTTTGGTGATCTTGCAGAGAACTTGTCTCTTTGTACCGCTGTATTGTATAATAGAGAATCTGCATCTGTTTTTTTGCTGCCTTTTTTGCTGACAGTTGCACGTAATTGTTTCGTTCTCTCTATCACGAAAAAATATAAACAAATGAATTTGTGATACAAATTAACTAAAAGTTAACATTCCAAATTCAACATCGGTAAAAGAAATAGCCAGCCAGTAACATTTTATTTTATTTTTTTTCAATAAAAAGTTTGTCTCAAAACTTATGAACACCCGAGGTACAGTTTGTCTATAAAGTCATGAAAAAAATTGAGGGCGCTGCGATCGTGCACGTAGCAACCCTGTGTAGGGAGACAAATGATTTTGATAGTAGGATTTTCTTTATTTATAGCAAAATAAACCTGATATTTTTTTTTACTTTTATTACCCCAGAAAAGGTAAAGAAAGGCGTATAATTCGTAGACAATGAGTTTATTCTATATTGAAGATTACAATATAGTAATCGTAATTTTTGATAAATCTTTTTTTTTTTATAATTGCCAAGTTGTTTTCTCGTTTTACTGCAATGTGTGCTTGTGTTCGATTAAAGCCTGTTACTTTGACACTCCTTGTAAGAAAACCCAATCTATTTCAGAATTTAACGCAGGTCTTCTGGGCTACAATTAAAATACAGATCGGTTTTGGCAATCTACTGATGTTTTCTTCATGTAGGTACCTCTTTTTTTCATAGAGTAAAAGAACTGAATCTTTTGTCGAAGTGCACAAATCTTGCAGTTAACCATTTATTTCTTAGGACGACTATCTATGTTTCCCAGGGATTTCAAATATGCCACCATTTTTATAGCCTTCATCTACAATACCTATCACTATATTCTCTGATTTTCCTGAAAGTAAGTTTTAAAAATGTAATACCTATAGGTATTTGGCAAAAAGAATGGAATCGCCACAATGATCAAATTAATGCTATAATTTTAGTAATATAAAGCACAAACTTTTTATTGACGTACGTAGGTAAAAATCGTACATTCCTAACAGATATATTTTTTATCCAGATTAAAATCAATGATAAATTTGATTTTCCAAAAGTATTAAAAGTTCGGGCCGCACTACAATATAGCCTTCTAACATTTTCAATCTAACCTATAAATGCATAATGTAAACAATACTTATTTTAGACTTAAATTCATATATTTAGTAAATGTGAAACTTCTGGTAACCAAAACTCAAACAGTAACACGATTACATACCAGTCATAACTGTCGTTCGAGCTTTAACATCCTACAAATATGATAAAATGTGTCCAGCTTCTTGTTCCAATAAACATCACTGAAAAACTTTATAAATAATATCCTGAGCTTCACTCCGATTAATTCTCTTCATTTTTAACACTTTTCTACGGAGTTTAGAAAAAGTAGCTTCAGTTTAATAAAAACAAATCAAAAATGCAGAAAATCGAGTTAAAAAATCAAGTTGTTGACAGTCGATGTACTTTGATTCAGTGTTGTCATACTAGTGTCTAATGTTAGTTCCTCAAACATTCTTTTCATGACTTTATAGACAGACTGTATATTATGTAACATTAAATATAAGGATACATTTTGAGGTTCTGGAATATATCTTTGAAGTAAATTGGTTCAAAGTTATTTAAAATTGACCATTCACCCTGATCTGCGAAACTACCTACTGAGCCTAAAATTTCTATAAATTAAAGAAAACCCTGTGTATCTATGGTTTTTAAAATTAAATATAATAATATGAGGCGAACTCACCTTGCTCGGATTTTTTCGTTTAACTCTTCTTACAATAGTATGAATTATCCAACAGTTATCCAATAACACGCACGCAACGCATCCAATAGCTAAACTCTTAATTTACTCACCTTCCAAAATTTACAGACTTTCAAAACTTACTCACCTTCCAAAATTTGTTTCCTTTCGTCGCGGTCCATGATGCACTGTTAATATCGAGCCGTGTTAATATTTCCGATAATATCTGAAAATAAAAAGCGTAACAATGTAAAGCATTACAATATTTACTTAAACAATATTTCGGATAAATTACATATAATAGCGTATGTTTTGCTTTTCTATTCACTTACATGAGAAATATAAACATTACCCATAATACTCTGCTGGTAATAAAAAATAGGTAGTTAAAAAATAATGTAACTAGTTTTAACTATGTTAAATGTTAATAAATTATACTGAAACCAGACAAAAAATCTATCCTGGTCCTCCAGGGCCTCCCTCATCACAGAAACAATATCAACACCGAAGTAAAAAAGGGACGTGTTATCAGCATATAATGAAACTTCACCATTCAAATTCAATTGACTAATATTATTTATGTAGGTCAAAAATAGCAAAGGATCTAAAATAGATCCCTGAGGAACTCCATATGTTATTGCTTCAGCTGGACTTTGAATATCACCTAATTCGACTATTTAGAAAGGTCAGATTGGAACATATCAAATACAGCACCCTTAATGCCAATCAAGTGCATTTGTGTAATAAAAAATCATGACTAATTGTATCGAAGGCCTTTTTGAGGTCAATATACACTCCCAAAGCCAATTGTTTCTTATTAAGTTTTATTTTGATATTAGATGTAAGATCAATATAAGAATAGAGAGTAAATGAATGAATGAGTTAATGAATTTCATGTAAAGTTCTGGTTTACTATAAACAACTCTTTCAAAAACTTTTGAGATTATTGGTAACATGAATATAGCTATAGTTGCTCGCGGCTGTCCTACTGCCTGATTTGAATATTGGGCTGACTTTGGCTGTTTTAACTGTTTCAGGAAAGTGACCTCTCTCTAAGCATTTGTTGAAAGTATTCCAAAATCAAAAAATTGACACCTTTAATTGTTTTACAGCTAATATCATCTAGGCCACTCATGTATTCGAATTTAAATTATTAATTATTTTACTGACTTCATTGGTTAATACTGAAGTAAATTTGGTAATTTCACCCGTGTTTGTGACAGTTCTCCAGGTATAAAATTATTCTTTATTTTGTTGTTATTCAGGTTATTTATTTTATCATTTTCAGCGGTTTATCTGCACAATGTTTGATTTTTTTAATAGTAATTTGATTTTGCGTTCTGTGTAGACTATCGGACTTTCTTTTTTCTTTTATTACTGAAAAAAGAAAGCCCGTCCGAAAAGTAATTAATTAATTTTAAATAAGGTGTAAAGCATACATTTCTGTTTTGCTTCTATTAAGTCTTTATTTATCCGGTCCTTATTGGAATGAAAAAGGATTTGCAGTTTCTAGATCTTTAAAAAAATCGCTATAATTAATAATAACTTGGCATTCAACTTTTTTATCTTTTCTGGTTTACATCTATGTACTTCAAGGTGGAACACTATAGCAAAGTGGAACGTGTTGTTTTTTATATCCGTATAGGCGCCATCTAGTAGTCTTTGAAGTCGAAGTTTCTCCAGATCCATTTGATTTAGAACAGTGAATCCATTTTTTAGAATTGACATGTACTTCTTCTTGGTTGATTATTTTTCAGTAGGTCGTAGTTAAAAATCTCCAAAGACTTGCTTTTTTGCATTTGAGAAGTTGTTGCGTAAAGATATCCAGAGAGTTAGAGTCATTGGTTCTTTCAGGTTTGTAGACGACGCCTACATCTAAGAAGAACTTATCACGACAGCCACGTGCCGAAAAATGTACAGATCGAACGACCAATCACAGCGCCTACATTTGCGGAATTCTCAGGGAGCCCATTGGCTGCGTATGCGCCGTCCGCACGGTGGGGGCGATTCCCCCACCCGGCGCGCGGGCGCAAAACGCGCTGTGATTGGTCGGCCGCCGCGCGTCACTAGTAGCTAAGTTAGATGTTAAGTGTAGAATAAGGGTAGGGCCAAATTTGTAAATATTCGTAGTCAAGTCAAGTCAGTCAAGCAGTATAGTCAAGCAGTAATAAGTAGCCAGTAAGAAGAAAATACAATAAATCGTCTATAGAAGAAATCCGTCTTTGTTTTGCACCATCATCAACAGTTATACAGCATCGTCTACAGTTTGGTCCATAGAGCCGGATCAGCACCCTCAATAGTTTGGTCCTTCGAGAAGTCGGATCTAAACACGTATAGAACCTTCGAGATCCAGCAACAGCGAATTCAAGATGGTGCTTACAAGAAGCCAAGACGAAGAAAACCAACGTCGTGTCTTCGACCAGCCGCCGAGATCGCCCTCAAGTACACCGACCGTACGAGGACGCCTCGAGACGGGTAACGCCGGGGAGAGCCTACGCACCGCACCGCAAGTCTCGCAACTAGCGCCTAACGCGAACCGCGCTGGGGCAGACGTTGCCGGAGCACGCGTCGCCTTGGCAGTGACTACGCAGCCGCCGAGCGGAGCGGACGAACGCGCAGCACACCCAACGGACACAGCGGCGACTACTGGAATAACGACATCTGCGATGACGTCATCGGTGCAACCGGCGAGGAGAGTGCACGTCGCGCGTTCGACCCGCTCGGCAGCGAGCAACGCGGCACGCCGGAAGCTACGCATCGAAGCAGAAGAACGACTGGCTGCCATAAGACGCCGAGAACTCGAAATTGAAGCGGACCTCATAAAAAAGACGCTCAATATCGAGTTAGAAACGCTAGACGGAGCAGAGAGCGAACCCGAAGCTGAAGAACCGGCAAATAAATTACAAGATCGAGTGTTCGAGTGGCTCGACGACGCGAACGTCGACCAACAACGGGGGGAGCTCTCAAGGACCGCCGTGGCTGAACCGCCACCTGAACGCGACACGCGACGCCCAGATAGGGAAGAACGAAGACGGTCGTCATCGCGAGGCAGAGGCATCGATCAACTCGCCTCTGTCCTCGAAACCCTCGTGAAGTCACGACCGCCGCCGCGTCAAGCATCGGATCTACCGATATTCTCTGGTTCACCGCTGGAATGGCTACAGTTCGCGACTGCGATGCGAGAAACAACGCGGCTGTACGAGTTCACACCTACAGAGAATATGGCAAGACTAAGAAACTGCCTACGTGGAGAAGCTCGGGAAAACGTCGCATCATTGTTGAGCACCGCGACGCACCCCGACGAGATCATGCGAACACTGGAGCAATGCTACGGAAGGCCAGAAAGACTAGTGGACATGGCTTTCGCCGATCTACGGAAGCTGCCGAAGATTGGACCTACCGCGAACGATCTTAACATGTTTGCGGTGAAGCTACAGAACGTCGTGGCCGTCCTGAGGAACGTGCAGCCAGAGTACCTACTTAACCCACTGCTGACCCGGGAAGTCTTGGACAAGATGCCGAGCTACCTTGTATCGAGTTGGTGCAACTTCGCCGAGTCACAGCCGGGCCCGAACGCCGATCTACTCAAACTTTCATCGTTCCTGATGAAGGAAGCTGACCGCTGCATGCGATACAACTATGTATCGAACCTCACCGCACCCTCCACATCGCAACGAACACGTGAAACGCCTCGCCCCGCCCCCAGACCGGAGGCTAAGAAGAAGACGGTGTACGTCGCCACCGAAGAAGCACCGCAGCGCAGATGCCTTTCGTGCCAGGAAGCCCACACACTACCTAGCTGCCCAAAGTTCAAGCAGCTAACGTATGATGACCGATGGGAGCTGGTGAAGAAGGAGGGGCTCTGCTTCAAATGCATCGTGGGCCGACACCGTCGATTGAACTGCCGACAGAAACTCTGCGGAATCAACGGATGCAAGCGACCGCATCACCGACTGTTGCACGCAGATGAGCGTGGAACGACGAACGACGTGGCTACGAGCGCGACCGACTCAAACGCGGCCGCAACGGAACCAGCCACCACCGAAACGACGACGGCTGCCACGACGACAAGCCGCGCCGTCAAATTGAAGATTTGCCCCGTGACAATCACGGGCAAACGTGGGAGCTGCGACACCTACGCGCTCTTCGACGAAGGCTCGACGGTCACCTTATTAGACGACGACCTGGCGCGACAGATCGGCGCCGACGGACCGACCGCACAGCTCAACGTCCGAGGAATAAACAAGAAGCAAAGTCACGTGCAGAGCCGTCGAGTGAAGATTGGAATAAAAGGAACGCGCAGTGACCAGATCTTCAAAATCAACGCTCGCACCATGGTGGGCCTGGACCTCACGCCGCAATCGATACCGGCGGAGGCGATGAAGCTACGCCACCTTAGAGATCTCGACGAGCGAGAAGTCGTATACAAGAATGCGAAGCCTCGCATTTTGATCGGGACGGACAACTGGGAGCTCATAGTGACCCGCGAACTACGGTCAGGAAAAACCAAGGAACCAGCTGCCTCCAAAACCGAACTCGGATGGGTAATCCACGGGACGGCGCCATCGAGATCGCTTCGCCGCACCGAGGATATCCTACATGTCGTCACGACCGAAGCATCAGACGACCGACTAGAAGAACTCGTGTCGAGACACTTCCGGATCGACTCACTCGGAGTGTCGCTCGACGCATCACACGTCCGCGAAGAGGACAAGCGTGCCGTCTCCACGTTCGAACGCACCGTGAAGCACAAGGACGGCAGATACGAAGTGGGCCTGCCTTGGCGAAACGACGACGCCAAACTGCCACGGAGTTACGACTCAGCACTCCGCCGGCTCACAAATCTGGAGAACAAGTTGAGAAAAGATCCACGCGACAGGGAAGAATACCAGCGGAGGATCGACAACCTCGTAGAAAAAGGATACGCCGAACCCTGCGACGGCTCCGAGGACGCTAGCCCCGTCGCATGGTACCTGCCGCATTTCGCCGTCAAGAATCCCAATAAGCCCGGGAAGCTGCGACTGGTTTTCGACGCAGCAGCAAGAATTCGAGGTGTCAGCCTGAACGATCACCTACTCGAAGGGCCGGATCTGCTACGATCGCTGCAGACCATTTTGTTCCGGTTCCGAGAGGGCGCATACGCGGTGACAGCTGACATCGAGGAAATGTTCCTGCGGATCAAGATACGCCGCGAGGACCAACCCGCACAGATGTTCCTGTGGCGCGACTGCAGGCAGAATGAACCACCGCGCAAGCTGAAGATGACATCGATGATCTTCGGCGCATCGAGCTCACCGTTCCTCGCACACAGCGTGAGGGACCACAACGCGAGACAGCATGCTGAGACGCACCCTGCAGCACTGCGCGCAATCACCGAAGCGCACTACATGGATGACTTCGTCGACAGCTTCAATGATCCGAGAGAGGCCCACGAAGTCATCACCCAAGTCGACGCAGTGCACCAGAAGGCTGGATTCCACCTGAGGGGATGGAACAGTAACAATAGGAAGCTACTACAAGCCGTGAACCCGGATAGTAGAGCCAAAAGCGGGACGACGACGTTTGGAGACGCAGAGAAGACATTGGGCCTGCTTTGGGATGCAAATACCGATCGGCTGGGCTTCAACACCGCCCTGCCTAGAGTCCCACTGCCAGTGAAGTCTCGACAACGCCCGCCGACGAAAAGAGAAGCATTATCGACGGTGATGAGCATATACGATCCGCTCGGACTGCTCAGCTGCTTCACAATCACAGCGAAGATAACTCTTCAAAAACTATGGCGCCTCAAGACCGGCTGGGACGACCCTCTACCATCCGACTTGAGCGAGGACTTCGATGCATGGTTGACAAGCCTGCCAGCAATCGACCAACTACGGCTACCCCGTAGTTACAACGGGGGGAGAGAAGTGCGTCGCCGTGAACTTCATATATTCTGCGACGCCAGCGAAGAAGCCTACGCAACGGCGGCGTATTGGAGATTGCATTACGGAACCGGCCATGTCATCGAGACAGTCCTGATAGCGGCAAGAGCTAAGGTTGCGCCCTTGAAGACCCAAACCGTACCGCGCCTGGAGCTTCAAGCGGCCCTCATCGGAACGCGACTAGCGAAGGCAATCAAAGAAGAACACCGTGTCAACGTCGACGACACCGTGTACTGGAGCGACTCTCAGACGGTGCTTCATTGGCTGCGGAATGGAAGCAAGCGCTACACACCATTCGTCGCACACCGTCTGGGAGAAATAATTGAGTCATCCAGACCGCAAGACTGGCGATGGATACCGACGCATCTGAACGTAGCCGACGTTGCCACACGCGCCGGATATACGCCAGCCAACGAAAACGACCTGTGGTTCACGGGACCATCCTTCTTGAAATTACCAAGATCGGAATGGCCGAAGCCACCAACGGATCGAGAAGATGACGAAACGACGGAAATAACACACGTCATCGCGCACACAACAGAGAGAAACGCTGGCTACGAGAGTACCTACCGACCCTCGTACCACGCCGCGACCCACAACGTCCACGAAGCAGCGAAGTACGGACCGGAGACGTGGTTATCATAGCCGACCACGCTCTGCCTCGAAACACGTGGCCACGCGGCATCGTAGCCAATACCTACCCTGGACCTGACGGCGTGATTCGGAACGTGGAGATAACGACAAGAGGAGGAACATTTCGGCGGCCGACATCGAAGCTGATCGTCGTCGAACCTGCACTCTCCACGGAACGATGAGAGAGGACGCGCTGCGCGACGGGCACGGGGCTGCCAACCGGAGGAGGCTGCGGAGATCCTTCGCCGGGGGGAGACTGTTGACGACAGCCACGTGCCGAAAAATGTACAGATCGAACGACCAATCACAGCGCCTACATTTGCGGAATTCTCAGGGAGCCCATTGGCTGCGTATGCGCCGTCCGCACGGTGGGGGCGATTCCCCCACCCGGCGCGCGGGCGTAAAACGCGCTGTGATTGGTCGGCCGCCGCGCGTCACTAGTAGCTAAGTTAGATGTTAAGTTTAGAATAAGGGTAGGGCCAAATTTGTAAATATTCGTAGTCAAGTCAAGTCAGTCAAGCAGTATAGTCAAGCAGTAATAAGTAGCCAGTAAGAAGAAAATACAATAAATCGTCTATAGAAGAAATCCGTCTTTGTTTTGCACCATCATCAACAGTTATACAGCATCGTCTACAGTTTGGTCCATAGAGCCGGATCAGCACCCTCAAATGGACTCATAAAAAGTGATTATCATCCTCACAAATGTCACTTATGTAGTACTACTGCTTTAAATCATTGCGTGTGAAAATCGAAACGCAATAAGTCGTTCGTGAACTTATAATATAATATTTATAGGTACAACTTGAGTCTGTCCTAATTTTTACAATAAGAACATTAGTTTCAATATCTTTTATTCTATTTTCAGTTTCCTTATTAATCTTGTTAATATTTACCAACTCTTCCTTTAACTTGTTTTGTTCTTCCACTAAGCGACCAGTAGTTCATTGAATAACTTGGTCTTTTATTTGTGACACATCGTCCTTAAATCAGTCGTTAAATCGTTATTTTGAACACGTTGGGTTTCAGTCATGGTATTCAAAAGTGCCATGACTTTATTTTCAAAAGTGTTAAATTTAGCACTTAAGATATCATCAAAATTTTTCCTTTTTGACCTGAAGGTAAATTGTTGTGGCTCCGAAACAATCAATGAAAGTTGTCCTAAGTCCGGCTGTGAGTCAGTTGCACTTGCTATGCGTGTTGCTATCTGACAGTTGACATCATCACGCGTAATAAGACCTTATGTATGTAAGCGATATATATTTCTGTTAATTTTTCATTCATTCATTCAAATAGCAAATGTTGGTATACACTGTATGTTATAATTATTTTAAATCTAAATGTGTGATAGCTGTTATCTTCTCATTATTAAAGCAGTAATAATATCATTACCATTCGAATAACCTTCAAATGGTATCCTTTATAATAGTTGCAATTATATCATATCTCTCTATCTAACCTAACAAGACAATTGTATGTCGTCAGTAAAACAAGGAAATGATAATTAAATGGCATATTAAAACAAATGTTCTAAGACAAAATCTAAATAATGAATAACTAGGTATCTAATTAAATATAGGTATGTGCAGTCGAGCCGAGTCACACGTTTTGAATAAGGTGTAGAGCTTGTGAAGTAAGGGCTTGTAGAGTTGAAGAATCAACCCTACACGACATTTGTCAATTTTGGACAGTGCGATGATTTAAAAAATATAATAGATGATGAAAAAAATCCAAATTTAACTAATTTCGTCATGATTTAAGGCTTTTAATGAACTTTGCTTAGCCTTATTTTTTATTTAGTGACAAATCAGACATGAGTTTCACTACATAGTATAAAACAAAGTCGATTTCTCTGTCCTTATATGTATGCTCTATGTATGCTTAAATCTTTAAAACAAGGCAACGGATTTTGATGCGGTTTTTTTTCATAGAAAGGGTGATTCAAAAGGAAGGTTTTTCCAAGTCGGACCAATATTGATGAATATATCGTGATTAATAACAAAATAAAAGAACAATCTAAGTGACAACTTCTTCCTATTCGAACCAAAGTAATTTTTCCATAAAGTTTTATTAGCACTAGCTTTTCCCTTAACTACGTCTGAGTAAATATAGCCCATGTTACCGGCGAATGACTACTTATAATATTAGCATAGAGGATAAAACTGTTTAGTGGGCGTCTACACTATTCTACCGGTAGTTGATCAAGCAAAACTTCCCCAGATACACCCAGGGGACCTACTTGATTCTATCGATAACGGGCACATTGATAATAAACCGACTTACAGTTTCAAGTGGCGTGTCCCAATGAAATGCTCCTAGAATGTCGACCCCTCGAGCAGGTTTGGTTATATTCAATTTATTTTTTTTCGGTTTTATAACTTGCTTCACCTCCTCCCACGAGGATTTACAACCTCCTTCGTGTGATACATCATTTAATGTATTTTCACTTTTAGATTTAAACAAACCTTCATTCTCATTTTTATTTAAGCAGTCTGTGGAACGACATTTTGATATGACGATGCTACTATCATCGTCGGTGGCATACGATTCTATGGACGACTTGATACTTCCAAATCGTTTATTCTTTTTCATTTCGTGTATCACTTTTGACGCTTTCTCATATTTCTCTTTTTCCGTGACGATTTTTGAAGATTTATCTTTCAATCTTAATTCCTTCTCGTACTCTTTTTGTGGTACATTAACAATGAAAAGCACTCCCACCATTTTTCAAAAAATATCTTCGATTTATTTAAATATGGAACGGTTAAGACTTAAAAATTATTTTTGAATTTGGAACGATCTAAAGTGTTTTAATTATTTTAGTAAAATAAAGATGGTTATATTCATTTGTTTTGATCGAAACTGCTTAATTTACTGGTCATGCGCACGCGCACGGTTGTCTACAGTCAAACTGCCATAAAACATGGCGCGTGGTCTAGGAAGTGTAACCATAATAACGTTGCGGATAATTGCAAACAATCGTCATCCGTCGTCGTCATTTGGTAATGGTTTACGAAATAAAAAAGTTATACGAATGAATTGTTTTTGTTAAGTCACTGGGTGCTTGAATGAGGTCGTGACAGTAGAAACATGCAATTAATTACCATAGATCCTGTGCGATTGTTTCTAAGTACACTAACATACAGAAAGTGTACATAATTTCAATTTTGTTCAAATAAATTAGATTAGTCGCCGAACCTTATAAATTCAAATATTAATTTTATAGCAAAATTTACAAAATATCTACTGTTTCAGGTTCAAAGATGTATACGCACAAACTAAAGACACACTGATTAGTAAAAAAATGGTCACTAATCTCGTAACAATTTCACAAGCCAGTGTGTGGACTTATCTTGAAGGTTGTAATCAAAGAGAAATAAAATAAAAAATAAAAATTTGTTGTAAAAAAAAACAAATTACGTTTTGGTTTTTGTGACTGGTAAAACGTTTTTAGGTACCTACATGCACATTTTACTTATGTAATTTCAAGTTATTTTTTGAAGTATCTATTTTATTTCTTTTTCTCAAACATAATTAAAGTAAATATCTATTAAATTATCATGTATGGCAAAAATTATATATTTGGATTAGCATGTTTATAATGGATCACTCAAATAACTTTATAAATTATTTTTTATAGAAATTTTAACACATTTTGAAACAAGTGAAATGAATTCGTAAACAGCTGGCCGATTTTGCTAATGTTTACGTAATAATTGCATCTCAATAGAATCTCAAAAACTGCTTTTTACCATTGTACTGTCTACTTAAGTCCACTGTTTATTAGTACATGTCGTCCTCATATTTCAATGTTGACATGTAATAATATTGGACTTAAGGTAGATAGTGCAGTGGCAAAATGGAGGTAGTTGAGATTCAAAAATAGAAACAATAGCAGAATTGGCTTGCTGGATTTATAGAGAATTTGCATTTTTTCCCTATTGGGAATACTTTAAAAAAGAATTTCAATATAATATATCAGGGATTGTATTCCATATTCGGTTACTTTCTTCTAGTACTGGTGAAAATTTGCATTTATTTCATGATTGTCATAATCATGATCTTGACATCAAAAAACATAAAACTAACTAGTAAACATAATTTTGAGAAACAAAATACAATCAGACGAAGCAGCGCGTCTCGGAAACGGGCTCGATAGTTTACCATTGCTTTCACGTGGCTTTGCTTCGTTAGTTTCCTCGGCAACGGCTGCGGGTTAAAATGGGGTACGAACCGCGCAGTCGCCACAGTTTGGGCGGCGCGCAGATCGCCCGTCGCGTCGCCCGCCGCCCGCCCAGCTAGTCGCGGCGAAACCTGCCGCCCGCGCGAACGATGCGCTTTGCCGCGTCACGCGATCGATAGCCAATAACCTAAACAAATAAAAAAAAGAAGCCACAGAGACAAATTAAATTGTCACGCTACACCGAACATTCCAAATTCAATTCGTGAGTAATTAGAATTTCGAACGGCACATTCACGATGCTGATTGTCAACACTATGTAACATGGCCACGTCCATTAAAACACATGATCGCAACTCGATGTGAGATCTTTCGAATAATAGCAGAACACTACGTTTATGAACACGTCTAATTTTGTATAAATTTCTGTTTGTGTGGTATTACGTAAACACTACTTAAGAACTAAATCAATAAGTTGTTAAGATTTTTGGGAACAAGTTAATAAAGAGTATTTTAAATTTATGCCATGTTAGCATGTTTTTGATTGATGTTTTTATGAGGTCACAGGTAAGTGGAAATGGTCATTGGTGGTAATTACACTTTATGTAAGTATTATAAAATTAGATATTTGTCATCATTTTAGTACTTTAGAGGATTTAAATATGCCAAAATGTACTTACAGAATATTATTTTAAAACATTTCATCCAGATTGATTTTGTTATTATATAACTCTATCCTTGTTGTGACGTAAGTTGCGAATCTAAGGGTGAACTTGAAGCAGATAGACTATGTTTATTTATCTGAAAGCTAGTCACAAATAAACTTAAAATATATCTATCTTACTACCAAACATTTCAGTAGATGTAAGCCGATACTTCTACATAATGTAATTAACACGAAGTTGTTCGATTGCTATAACTCATTATAAACCATTATTTAACATTTCCGAAGAAATAATTTGATTTCAAGACGAAAGTAAACTCTTAACTTAGATAATTGATCTGTATATATAGAAACAGGTACATATATCTCTGAAGTCATAAAATACATTTCAAAATCGAAGACTGAATATTCTTAACTGGGACTAAGTAGGTACCTATTATCTTTTTTTATAAAATTACTTTATTAACACAGCCTAAGAGACAATCACGAACTCTTTAGTTTTATTTTAATTAATGTTAGATCGGAATACCCAAAAAACTACTGACAAAAATAAAGACAGGTATGAGTATTTTATATTCATAGCAATATTAACAATATCGTTAAATCTGTAACACAAGTGAGCTAATTATAAACTTCCGCATAAAAGGAAAGATTTGATTGTGTGTTTATTTCATTTGAATAGACTCTGAATTTATGGATCGATTATAAAAAAATCTTTCACATACAAGCAGCTATATCACCCGTACGGAGGTGACATAGGTTATAATTTACAATTGATAGTTTTAATGAATTGCGTTACTTTAGGTTTACTTTTTTACGAAATAATGCGATCCTATGCTTAATTACCTGTGTGGATTTTTTGATACGGTTTTTTCAAGACACTTGATGTTTTGCTGAAGGTTCTCAGAGATCTATCACGTAGGGCGTCTAGGGCTCGTAAGCTTGTCTCGACTTCCCTCGGAAACCCAAGTAAACTTTACTTCATCACGTGTATCTGCTGATCTTGTTACAAACCTATAATATATATTCATACCAATATATTGAATTTATATAGAAATAAACCAAAATTAGCAAATACACGTCGACACGAGAACGAGGGAGTTCGTAAGTCCAACCATAAATAAGATCCTTATCATTCTTATAATAAGATATATGATATGTTGTTTCAGCAATGATTTCAGGATAGGACGGTCCTAAACGTAGGTACCTAGTAGCGGAAGCAAAAAGGTTTTTAACCGACTTCGAAATCGAAAAGGAGAAGGTTATATGTTCGACGGCGATGTATGTTTTTTATGTATGTTTACCGATATTTCCGCCAAGTGTTGAGCGATTTTGGATATTCTTTTTTATATTCGACAGCGGCGGATATGGAATGGATAGAGGCGGTCCCATTTAAATATTATCGATATCGAATCACTAGTTTTTGCTTTTATAACAAAACAAAATACGCTTTTTACCATATATCACCTAAATATTGTATCTCAGTTAACAAACAAAAGATTGCGTATTTTGAATTTATTCAAAATACGAAAGGAGGATTTTCCATGTTCAAGGAGTATGTAGTTTTCTTTTATGAAAGTAGGTATGTCAATCGATTTCTTTTTGAATTGTGAACCAATTTCTATCAAACAAGTTGTTTCCCTGCGATGTCGCCTGCGTAAATTATAGCCTATTATATAGCTTCCCGTAGATTAAAGACTTTTATAAATCTATCCAATGTCTCGGAGCCTATCTAATGCAAACAAACAAGCAATCAAATCTTTCTTCTTTGTAATATGAGTATAGAATTGGAAAAAAATATGTCGAGCATATAAATAAAATCTCCTTTTCTAAGACTTTCACTTTATTGAATATTTTTATTTATAACTGTATTATGTACTCTATAATAATATTATAAAGGGGAAAGATTTGATTGCTTGTTTCTTTGTTTGCAATGAATAGGCCCGAAACTACTGGACCGATAAAAAAAAAAACACCTATGGGAACATCATATCATGTAGTTTACATAACGTTGGCATAGTAAAGATTGCTTACTATTCAATTTGTCATTGCAATTATATCCGCGTCATCGTGTCATGATATGAATCGATGTCCAAATGAACAGTTCCCTAGGGAGTATGCGGGCGAAGTCGCTGGCGAAAAGCTAGTTTTTAATATTTTTAGCTAGTATTTAATATTTTAGTGTCATTATCACTAAAAAGCATGATATAAGAACTTAAAAAAATAGAACCGACTTCAAACTTTAAAAAAGTGATAAATAATACTTATCTCAAGAGCGACTTATTCAAGAAAATGCTATTGAAGTTGGCCGCCTATCATTTAATTAATAAACCTACAGGAGAATTCCGCTCGACGTCAATAGCATTTTCTTGAATAACTAACTCGCTTTTGAGATATGGATTAAGTTGGGGAAAAAGTCTTTTCGCATGTAGTATGCATAAAATTGTTATAAAATATTTCTGGCTATTCCATTTGTATCTGGCTGGTTTCATTTGTTTTTCTTATTGTCAAAATGAATGTAATTAATGTATCTTATTTAAAAAAATGTAACGTTTATGGTAGGTCCATTTTAAAAGGGTAAAAAACAACGCAAGCTGCGAAAAATATTGTGACTTTATGGATCAAGTGCAGTTTTTGTGTGAGTAGCACAAGTTTGGTATAAGCGTTTTCGGTCCGGAAATTTTGATACGAGTATCAAAGATGCACGTCGCTCCGGTCGCCTTGTTACGGATAAAATGGTTGCCATATTTGAAAAAGTGGAGCTTGATCGGCATATAAGTAGTTACGACGTAGCTGAAGAACTACATCTACATCAAATACAGCAATATTTTGAAATATGTAGTCGCTCTTTCTGATATATGCTTTTGTAAAACCATGTTG